AAGGCATCATAAGGTAAATGCTAAACGAGTAGAACATTTAATAAGTGCTGAGAACATTTAACAAGTGGAGGGAAACTTGTTTAAGGTAGAAAATAGCATAAGTAAAACTAAAAGGATCTGAATGACTATCAGCTGTCATCACAGAACAAAAAGGGTACTAGTGAGATTTTGTTTGTTTTTTATTTTTTTTTTGAGATGGAGTCTCGCTCTGTCACCCAGGCTGGAGTGCAATGGCGCAATCTTGGCTCACCGCAACCTCTGCCTCCTGGGTTCAAGTGATTCTCCTGTTTCAGCCTCCCAAGTAGCTGGGATTACAGGCGTCCACCACCACGCCTGGCTAATTTTTTTTGTATTTTTAGTAGAGACGAGGTCCACCATGTTGGACAGGCTGGTTTCGAACTCCTGACCTCAAGTGATCTGCCCGCCTTGGCCTCCCAAAGTGCTAGGATTACAGGTGTAAGCCACTGTGCCCAGCCCACTAGTGAGATTTGATCAGAAAAATGTGTGCTAGGAAGTTGTTCTAATTACTATTGCTACCCTAACAACACCGGATTTAGATATTTAAAAGAATAATGATTATTTTATTATTTCTGGTGATTTCTGTGGCACAGGAGTTTGGGAAAGCCTGAGCTGGCTGGTTCTGACTCATGATCTCTCCTGAGGTCAGACGGTGGCTGCAGCTGGAATGGTGGTTGAAGAAGCTGGGGGCTGGCTGGGCACCTCTCACTCTCTTTACGTGGTCTCAAGGCTTCTCCAGGTGATGGCCTTTATAGGTTAGTTTGGGCTTTCTCAGATGGTAGGTATTTGGAGAGAGCCACTGTCACACATCCCCAGGAAGCAGACTGAGATGTCGGGACATTTGTTGTTGAGTGATACTGGGACCATTACCTGTGGAAGGGAGGAGAAAGAAGCAGGATTAAGTAGAGAGAAAAACTGAATGGCAATGCTGTCCTAACGAAGGCCTCAGCTGACCCCGACAGGGTGCTCTGGAGCTAGGATGACCCTTCTGAGTTTGTCTAAATCTGGGCAAAAGGGCAGGCTGGTCCTTTACACCTCTGTGTTAATCACTCACTGGATTCAGGCTTCCCCAAAAGGAGGTATAACCTTGAGTGAGGTAATCTTGAGCCAAGGCAGTCCCCTACAAGGGCTGACAGTTTAGGGTCATCTTCCAGTAGTACTCCCAGTAGCTATAGGAACAAGTTCCTCATTCCTGAAGGAAAAGCTGGGTGGTACATCACAGTGTCCACCACAGTTCTGACACCGTCCATGGCTTTCCATAGAGGGACTCAGCCATTTTGTATGGACCTGGCAGAGAGGAAGCCGGGGGAATAAATGTCCAACCTCACCTTCCTCCTGACTTGATTTCCTTTCAGGACCAAGTCCAGGAAGCCATAGGACTTCACGCAGTCCATACAGGTTTTGTCTTACGGAGCAGTATGGAGAAGAGTGAAGAGTAGATCTAGAAGTGCAAACAATATATTCAGCAGCAGTAGATGAGCTTGGTTTTTGAGTGTTAAAGGCATGTTGAATTTAATAGTATCCTGAGGGGCCGGGTGCGGTGGCTCACGCCTGTAATCCCAGCACTCTGGGAGGCCCAGGCAGGTGGATCACGAGGTCAGGAGATCGAGACCATCCTGGCTAACATGGTGAAAGCCTGTCTCTACTAAAAATACAAAAAATTGGCTGGGCGAGGTGGCAGGCGCCTGTAGTCCCAGCTACTCGAGAGGCTGAGGCAGGAGAATAGCGTGAACCCGGGAGGCGGAGCTTGCAGTGAGCCGAGATCAGGCCACTGCACTCCAGCCTGGGAGACAGCAAGACTGCATCTCAAAAAAAAAAAAAAATTATATATAATAATAATAATATACCAACGGAACTTTCTTACTGGTAGATTAAAGGAGTTTCTGAATCACTCTCTCACCTGCTCCACTTAACTAGGTTACTTTTTTTTTTTTTTTTTGAGACAGAATCTTGCTTTGTCGCCCAGGCTGGAGTTCAATAGCATGATCTTGGCGCACTGGAACCTCCACCTCCTGGGTTCAAGTGATTCTTGTGCCTCAGCCTCCCAGATAGCTGGGATTATAGACAGGCATGTGACACCACGCCCGGCTAATTTTTGTGTTTTTAGTAGAGATGGGGTTTCACCATGTTGGCCAGGCTGGTCTCAAACTCCTGGCCTCAAGTGGTTTGCCCACCTTGGCCTCCCAAAATGCTGGGATTACAGGCGAGAGACACCGTGCCCACCTTAACTTGGTTACTTAACCTCACTTTTCATTTTGCCATTTAAACCTTACCTAATTGCTTCATCTTAAAGAGTGATCTGATCTGGTACATGAGTTTGGCTTTGGCTTTTCTCCTGACTAAATTTCACTCTTTTTTTTTCCCCCCCTTTGAGACGAAGTCTCGCCCTGTGGCCCAGGCTGGAGTGCAGTGGCGCGATCGACTCACTGCAAGCTCCGCCTTCCGGGCTCACGCCATTCTCCTGCCTCAGCCTCCCGAGTAGCTGGGACTACAGGCGCCCCGCCACCGCGCCCGGCTAATCTTTTTGTATTTTTAGTAGAGACAGGGTTTCACCGTGTTAGCCAGGATGGTCTCGATCTCCTGACCTCGTGATCCACCGCCTCCGCCTCCCAGAGTGCTGGGATTACAGGCGTGAGCCACCGCGCCCCGCCCTATGGTGTACTTTCTGCAGCCACTATTCAATGGTAAAATGAGTTCATGGCCTTTCTTCACATTATTTCCAGGATACAATTTAACCCCAATCTTCATCTTTTATTTGAAACCCTACCATCTGACATCAGTAATAATCTCTTCCGTCTCTTCTTTGGCTTTCATACATTTTTTTCCTTCTTTACCTACTCCTCAGTTTCCTTGAGGACTTTAGTAGACAATCCCTCCCTCCTCTCTTTTCCCCTTCAACCTTGTCCCTTCAACCTTGTTTTGCTCTCCTTTGCCTGAGAGTCCTTGGACATTTTATTTATTTAATTATTTTTTGAGACAGAGTCTCACTTTGTCGCCCAGGTTGGAGTGCGGTGGCGCCATCTTGGCTCATTCTGTCGCTCAGGCTCATTGCAATCTCCTGCTCCTGGATTTAAGCGATTCTAGCGCCTCAGCCTCCCAAGAAGCTGGGATTACGGGCGCGCCCCACCGTGTCCGGCTAATTTTTGTATTTTTAGTAGAGACAGGGGTTTCACCGTGTTGGCCAGGCTAGTCTCGAACTCCTGACCTCAGGTGACCACCCGCCTCGGCCTCCCAAAGTGCTGGGATTACAGGCATGAACCACCGTGCCCGGCCAGCATTTACATTTTAAATGTAATCCTCTTTGAGGAGCAGTGTGTCTCTGTTGGGGGTGGAGTAGGGAAGGTGGAGTTGTGAGGATTCTGTTGGAAAGCCGAAGATCTCTAACCTTAGAAACAGGAAAAATAGCAACCAGTTCTGGGAGGTATGGGACTAATTCCCCCACTTTCCACCTGCTTCCCCATATCATTTGGAATTTATTTAGTTATTTATCCTGAGAAAGATGTAAGGCAATAAGAATGATAGAATTTAAGCAAGAGCTAAGAAAAAAGACCCTCAAGACAAAATTTTAAAAGATAATTTTTTTTTTTTTTTTTTTTTGAGACAGAGTTTGGCTTTTGTTGCTCAGGCTGGAGTGCAATAGCACGATTTCGGTTCACTGCAAACTCCGCCTCCCAGGTTAAAGCAATTCTCCTGTCTCAGCCTCTGGAGTAGCTGGGATTACAGGCGCCCGCCACCACACCCGGGTAATATTTTGTATTTTTTGTAGAGACGAGGTTTCACCATACTAGTCAGGCTGGTCTCGAACTCCTGACCTCAGGTGATCCCACCGCCTTGGCCTTCCAAAGTGCTGGGATTACAGGTGTGAGCCACCACACCCGGCTAAAAGATAATTATTATCCCACTCTTTCATATCCCATCCCACATAGACAAACTGTTTTTTTTTTTTCCTTCTTCTGTCTTGAACACTAAATTTTATCCCCTGAGGGGGTGCACTGTTCCTGGAGGTACTGTAATACCAGGTGGATGCGTTAAGTGAACAAGAAAGCTCCTATTGCGTCTTCCTGCTCCCCAAATCCATTTAATATATTGGACTCGGATAGAAAATATATCAGATATTAAACTGTTAAGAACAGATCCTACACTTGATCTTAGCCAAAAGGCAGAGAAGAAGCGATAAACACTTTTAAAAGCACACTTTACCTACAGATTTCCATGGAAACCAACCAAAGGGAAATTAGAGAGGCATTGCTGTGCCATTTCTATGCTAATTAATGTCTGATTTTCATTAGGCCAGCGTTGTTTTTCCTCCAAGGTCTTAGTGTTTATTACAGCAAAAATTAACTCAGTAACAATTCCTCCAGGATAGTTTTATTTAAATATTATTAACTCACATACTTCACCCAACTGCTTTCAAAATTGTTGTCTTCTATAGTGTTAAACTACCATCTTTAAAATCTTGGCCCTGGCTCTGCATCACGGAAGGTCAGCCTCTGTGAAAAGCCTGACCCCAGCAGGACAATGCCACCAAGGCATCTTTTTAATGTGATGCGCACGTTGCTGTACACCTTGGCTGCAAAGCAGAGGCTGTGCTTTTAAAACGGCCAAGAGCTAGTGCATGCCGTGTGGTGAATTATCAGTATCGCAACTTGGGCACGGAAGGATGCTTTCTCCCTCTTTAACACTAACAACAGAATAAAAAACCAAAAACTAAAAACCAAATCCAACAGACAACAAAACCGTCCGAGTGCCTAGGGAAAGCGCGCCAACTACATAAAGAAAAATAGGGGGGGTGCTGGGATTCAAAATCATTTCTCCCGGACGTACACCCTCCTGGACCTATCAAAATTAACTGCGCCCTTGATCGTAGCCAATAGATACGGAGTTTCTGGTCCAGGTCCTCCCTGAAGACTGATAGACATTTACCTAGCCCAATGGAATAATGTGACGCTAAAGAATCAACCAATACGTTTGGGAGGTGGGTGGAGTGTAGGCCAGGGGGTTGGCGGTGCCGTGTCATGGAGGCTCAGTCTCTGAGCAGCCATTGAAGGGGAAGGAACTGCGGGTGTGTGTGTGTGTGTGTATGTGTGTGTGTATGTGTGTGCGCGCGTGCGTGCGTGTGAGTGCGCGCGCTAGTGTGTGGACAAGGAGGTGGGGGCAGCTGAGTTAGAGTCCCAACTCTTGGACTCCATTTGCTATTCTCTTCTTTCTCCCCCACACCTATCTGGTGGTAGTGGGCGTTTATATTTGCGTTCCTTTTCATTCATTTCTAAATCTCTTAAAAATTTTGGGTTGGGGGTATTGGGAAAGGCAGGAAAGGGAAAAGAAGGAGAGTAGTAGCTGAAGAGCAAGAGGAGGACATGGAGATGAAGAAGAAGATTAACCTGGAGTTAAGGAACAGAGCCCCGGAGGAGGTGAGATGACTCAGCCCCCACCCCTTCCCCATCAGTCCTGTATTCTGAGGATCGGATTTCTGGTGGTCCTGGGTGGGTGTGCGGGGATGGAGTAATAAGTTAGCCCCCGCCCCCCCGGTTTAGGGTTGGGGAAATGTTTAATTTTAAGTTTTAAATCATTAAAATCTTCTACTTAAAATGGCGAAGGGTTGAAGTTTCTAGGGGCGTTTTTGTGTGTGCATGGGGGCTTAGCTCCTTTCGGCTTTCATCGAGTCGGGCGTCTTGGCCTCGTGGGGGCGGGAAGCGGGCTGGTGGGGGCGCTCTGCCGCTTCGCTCCCGGCGCTCCTCCTCCTGAGGGCCAGCGGCGTGGGACGCGACCCCCCAGTCCCACTCGGCCCCTGCCGCAGCCATCGGCGCCTGAGAAGTTAGTCCAACTTTTCTGCAGTGCGGCCAACTCATCTTTTTGGGGGGTGGGCTCCCCCGGCCTCGAGGCCCTGGGCGTCCGACGTCGCGACGGGCGCGGACTGGGGTCGCTTTCAGGGTCCGCGCACTGTCTGCTCCGGCGGCGCCCACTCCTCCGGGAAGCCGCGCGCGCCGCCCTCCGCCCTCCGCCCTCGGCCCGGCGGAATCTGGGTCAGCCGCGGGTTCTCTGACCGCGGGCGAGTTTGGGGACTCGTCGCAGTGACCGGAGGTGGGGAGGGGACGGGAGGCGTAATCCGCTTCTTCCCCCGCCGTGTAACGATATGTGGCACGTCGTGTGGCCGCAACTCTGAATTTGATCCCTGGAGACGGTTTCACAGAACTCAACATAAGGGACGTAGTAGTTTCGTGCTTTAAAGATGGGTTCGCCGAAACTAAATGATGCGCTCTCACTGCTGTTGCCTTAGTTAAAGAGACGGGGTTGGGAGGGGCCACATGAGGCGGGTCGCGGTCAACTTTTCTGGGGTCGGGCAGGAGGCGTTTCCGCCTCCTTTTCGCGGTTGCCTCCTCGGCCTCACCTACCCAGGGCGAAGGCGCGAGGGCAACGCGGGTTGGGAGGCGACCCCTTTTTTCCTTGGGGAGTCCCCGCCCGGTGTGGGGTTTCCCGTCAGTCGGAGCGGCAGGTCGCGAGAGCAGGGCTGGTGGCCAGCGGGGAGCCTCGCAGAGGAAAGCATCTGTCTTGCTGAAAGAAGCCCTAGAATTGGAATGTAAGGGAGTTGTCTGTAGCTGGATCGACCGATCGATAGAAGGATATAACTGGGGTGGTGTCTGTGCAGACCCGCATAGAGGATGAGCAGGGTCTGTCTGGGCTTTCGCGTACGGCGTGTGGAGTGGCAACTAAGACTTTTTTTTTTTTTTTTTAAGGTGCCTGTTTTCTGAAATTGGCAGGGGCCAGGGAGGGGAAACAGTTGCTTGCTATTAGGGTCATCCCGGAGAGATCTTGAAGTTTCTAGAACTTATTCTTAGGGGCTTCAGGGAAAAAACAAAATCAAACTTGAAAAGCTGTCTCTCACAAGCACACGTTTAGAATACTTTTTGGTGGCTTGGGTTGGAAAATTGAATCCCGCCCCCGCCTCCCCCGCCAGGATTCTTTCACTTAGTGATTGTAGTAATTTCTTTGCCAGTTTTGGGAGTACAGGACGTTGCCTTTTTTCAGCTTCTTCCTCTGTGTTGTAATAACGGTCTCTTACATTTGTATAGACAGTTTACAAAGCACTTTTCCCGTTTGTTATTTACTTTCCTCCTTACACACTTGTAAAGTGGATTGTGTTATTCTAGAATCCAAATTAGCAGACGGAGTCTCAGGGCAGTGAAATGATTCACGCAAGTGCAGGAATTGGTTTTCTGACACCAAATCTAGTAGCCCCCACTCCTCAACTAAATGGGGAGTGAAGACGAACCAATTCACAGCCCTGCGGCAAACCAAGTGTGACTCTAGGCAAGCCATTCTTGTTCTCTGGGCCATAGTTTCCACGTCTCCAAAACGGAGCTCAAGATGCTCTCTCTGGCAACAGAAATAATTATGTCAAAATCGTATTCAAATAGAGAAGGTGGCATTCCTTGTTGTCAAATTTTAGCCCTCGGATACCTCAAACAGGTTTTCACATTGGGTATAGAGAACCAGGATCTTCGGCCTTTTCCTTAAAGATTAAGTCCATTCAGGCCCACACCAGGATGTTTGTTACTACAAACTCTTACCTAATAGGGAATTCAGCCCCATTCCTTGAGGAATGGGGAAAAGTGCACAGAAATGCTATTATACCAGAGTGGTAGGGAGAAATAACATTTTGTTAAGAATGTATTGTTTTGGGTGATACTGTTTGGCCTGGATGTGAGAACCAATAACACCCTCTGGGCTGTTGCCAGAGGAGCTTTCTAACATTTCTTCATAAAGGGTAAGGAGGCTTTTTTGAGTTATGATGGTATTTATCAACCAAAGAGAAGGGATTTTAAACTGAAAAAGTGATTAAACAGTTTCTTCTCTTTGTAGGTTTTTTTTTTTGAGATAGAGTCTCGATCTGTTGCCCAAGGTGGAGCACAATGGTGCGGCCTTGGCTCACTGCAACCTCTGCTGCCCGGGTTCAAGTGATTCTCCTGTCTCAGCCTCCCAAACAGCTGGGATTACAGGTGCCCACCATCATGCCTGGCTGAGTTTTGTGTTTTTAATAGGGACAGGGTTTCACTGTGTTGGCCAGGCTTATTTTGAACTCCTAACCTCAAGTGATCCACCTGCCTCAGCTTTCCAAAGTGCTGGGATGACAGGCGTGAGCCCCTGCGCCTGGCGCTTTTTGTAGGTTTTAGGGCAGCTCACTTGAATCTTTTCCTGGTAGCTCAGGTACCCCCTCTTTGCATAAATATATTCTCTGATGTTGAGAGTCCTCCTTATCAGGGTCAGAAACAGGTTTCACATGGGAACTTCTTCAACGTTTGTTTCTTATGTATCAGTGATTTGAAGCAGGCATTGAACTTTAGTCCAAGTTTAAATTGAAAAAATGGCCAGGCGAGGTGGCTCATCCCTGTAATCCCAGCACTTTGGGAGGCCGAGGGGGAGGATCACCTGAGGTCAGGAGTTCAGGACCAGCCTGGCCAACATGGCGAAACCCTGTTTCTACTAAAAATACAAAAAAATTAGCCGGGAGTGGTGACATGCACCTGTAATCCCAGCTACTTGAGAGGCTGAGACAGGAGAATTGCTTGGACCCAGGAGTTGGAGGTTGCAGTGAGCCGAGATCGTGCCATTGCACTCCAGCCTGGGTAACAGAGCAAGACTCCATCTCAAAAAAAAAAAAGAAGGAAAAAAAAGGAAAAAAGAAATTTAAAAGATTATAGTGATGACTTTAGATTGTATATCAGTTTTGGGGGGAAATGAAAAGGACTTGTGTAAGGGGATTGCTGGGGTTTTTGTTGTGTTGTGTTTTGTTTTAACTGATAGGCAATCAAACTGGAGATTGGTGGTTTTAATAGTTACATTTCCAGAGTGTCAAGACCCAGGTCTCTACCTAAACAGATTACAAACTAAAGAATCATTAATTAATGTTTTCCCTCTTACAGGTGACAGAGTTAGTCCTTGATAATTGCCTGTGTGTAAATGGGGAAATTGAAGGCCTGAATGATACTTTCAAAGAACTAGAATTTCTGAGTATGGCTAATGTGGAACTAAGTTCACTGGCCCGGCTTCCCAGCTTAAATAAACTTCGAAAAGTAAGTTGGCATTTACGTGAAGCATCATGATTTAATGTCATGGCTATTATGTCTAGTGTTTGACCAAATGGAATACTATTCTGCTTGCTAATTAGAAGTTTTTAAGTTTCTAGAGATAAGAAAAAGTTATATAGGATTTTGAGAATCAGCTCTAATACTGCTTTTATAAATTATTTACTTACTTATTTTTAAGACAGGGTCTTACTCTGTCACCCAGGCTGGAGTGCCGTGGTGTGATCTTGGCTCATTGCAACCTCTGCCTCTGGGACTCAAGCATCCTCCCACTTCAGCCTCCCAAGTAGCTGAGGCTACAGGCATGCTGGGATTAGAGGAGTTAGCCTCTGTGCCTGGCCTAGAAATTTAAATCTAATAGTGGAATTGCCTTATAATATGAATTTGTATTTAATATATACCAAATATTTTTCTCTACATCATGAAATCCAAATGTAGTACAACTAGAATCCAAGCTGGGTTAAGAGCCCATTATGTAGGTGTTCTAATACATTATTTGGCAGATGTAGAAAGGAATTTGGAAATTAATGATCTATAGTGATAGTTTCTTGAAGCCAGAGAGAATGACAGTTTTTTTTTCTTCAAATTGATATACTTTAAAAATCTTTGATATACTTTAAAAATCTTTGATATGCCAGGTGTGGTGGCTCACGCCTGTAATCCCAGCACTTTAGGAGGCCGACGCGGGTGGATCACCTGAGGTCAGGAGTTCGAGACCAGCCTGGCCAACATGGTGAAACCCCATCTCTACTAAAAATACAAAAACTAGCTGGGTGTGGTGGCGGGTGCCTGTAATCCCAGCTGCTTGGGAGGCTGAGGCAGGAGAATTTGCTTGAACCCAGGAGGCGGAGGTTGCAGTGAGTGGAGATTGCACCACTGCACTCCAGCCTGAGTAACAGAGTGATACTTCGTTTCAAAAAAAAAACTTTGATATGATACCTTTACCATTCTTTGTTTTCTTCCTATGTTGAATGTATAGTTGGAGCTTAGTGATAACATAATTTCTGGAGGCTTGGAAGTCCTGGCAGAGAAATGTCCAAATCTTACCTACCTCAATCTGAGTGGAAACAAAATAAAAGATCTCAGTACAGTAGAAGCTCTGGTAAGTGGAACGGTTTTGTCTCTGGACTTGCTTTTTTTGGTTAAATTTTCTGAGATTTGTTTGTGTCTATTAATTTCTATTTAACTCAAAACTTACGAATTTTTTGTATGTTATGATCTAGGCAGTTACTGATTTCGTTTCTTTTAGACTAAAATATTCAGATGAAATTTTAAATCAATGAGAAATTTATTTTATCATCAGCTTCAGGAGTTGACTATCTGGTTTTAAAATTTCCAGGTTTTTTTTTTTTTTTTTTTTTTAAACCTTTTATTCTTTTTCCTTACTTCTTGATTATTTTTTGAGTTATTTTATTATTTGCCCCCTTCTTTCCTGGTATGAGGGAAGGAAAAGAAAAAGTGACACGAGGCAGGAGAATCGCTTGAACCCAGAGGGGGAGGTTGCGGTGAGCCAAGATTGCACCATTGCACTCCAGCCTGGGCAACAAGAGCGAAACTCCGTTTAAAAAAAAAAAAAGAAAAAGAAAAAGAAAAGAAAAAGTGACATGCTGAAAATTATTGCTCTGATTTTGAAAAAAGATTGGAGGCTGGGCACAGTGGTTTATGTCTGTAATCCCAGCACTTTGGGAGGCAGAGGTGGGAGGATCGCTTGAGTCCAGGAGTTTGAGGCCAACCTGGGCAACATAGTGAGACCCTGTCTCTACAAAAATAAAAAATTAAAAAAAATTAGCCAGGTGAGCTGGCTGTGCTTGATATAATAATCCTTCATTATAAAACTCAAAAAATACAAAAATCATTCTCAATTTCAAATGTATATTTTCTGAATCATAAATTAAAAAGAAATGATGTGGTTGGGCACGGTGGCTCACGCCTGTAATCCCAGCACTTTGGGAGGCCAAGGTGGGCAGATCATGAGGTCAGGAGATTGAGACCATCCTGGCCAACATGGTAAAACCCCATCCCTACTAAAAATACAAAAATTAGGCCGGGCGCGGTGGCTCACGCCTGTAATCCTAGCACTTTGGGAGGCCGAGGCGGGCAGATCACCTGAGGTTGGGAGTTTGAGACCAGCCCAACCAACGTGGAGAAACCCCGTCTCTACTAAAAATACAAAATTAGCTGCATGGAGGCACATGCCTGTAATCCCAGCGACTCGGGAGGCTGAGGCAGGAGAATTGAACCCAGGAGGCGGAGGTTGTGGTGAGCTGAAGATCATGCCATTGCACTCCAGCCTGGGCAACAAGAGCAAAAAGTCCATCTCAAAAAAACAAAGCAAAACAAAAACACAAAAATTAGCTGGGCATGGTGGTGCACACCTGTAGTCCCAGCTACTCGGGAGGCTGAGGCAAGAGAATCGCTTGAACCCGGGAGGCGGAGGTTGCAGTGAGCGGAGATCACGGCACTGAATTCCAGCTGGCAACAGAGCTAGACTCCGTCTCGAAAACAAAAACAAAACAAAACAAAAAACATGGTATTTTAAATCTTGAATGTAAGTTTTAACTTTACTTTTCCAGCAAAATCTTAAAAATTTGAAAAGTCTTGACCTGTTTAACTGTGAGATCACAAACCTGGAAGATTATAGAGAAAGTATTTTTGAACTGCTGCAGCAAATCACATACTTAGATGGATTTGATCAGGAGGATAATGAAGCACCGGACTCTGAAGAGGAGGATGATGAGGGTAATCATTCTTAATACTCATAAGTGTGTCATTATTATAGCCTCTGCTCTAGCTGTGCAAATTAGATTGGGCCTGGAAATTTAGGTTTGAAAAAAAAAATCCACAAGAAGATATTAGTAAGACAAGAAAAAAATTAAAAACCCGTAGCTCTAGCCAGTATTTCTTCTTTTATATTTCCTATAGTTTCAGGGAATTTAATGACTATTAGAACATGAAGCTCTGTGAAATTTTATATCTGTAGAAAGTTGTACACCCAGTAAAAGTGGCAACCTCTTAAATAGTATTTTTTTTTTTAAAAAAGAACCACTTGTAATAGCCAAAAAGTAGAAACAACCGAAGTATCTATCAACTGATGAATGGAATTTTTTTTTTTTTGAGACAGAGTTTTGCTCTTATTGCCCAGGCTAGAGTGCAGTGGTGCAATCTCTGCTCACTGCAACCTCCGCCTTCCGTTTTCAAGCAATTATCCTGCCTGAACCTCCCAAGTCGCTGGGATTACAGGTGCCCGCCACCACTCCCAACTAATTTTTTTATAGTTTTAGTAGAGACAGGGTTTCACCATGTTGGTCAGGCTGGTCTCGAACTGCTGACCTCGTGATCCACCTACCTTGGCCTCCCAAAGTGCTGGGATTAAAGCCAGCGTGAGCCACTGGGCCCCGGCCCAATGAACAGATTTTAAAAATGTGATTTATCTATACAGTACAATATTATTCCACCATAAATATGAATGAAGTACTGATGCATGCTACATGAATGAATCTTGAAAATGTTCTTCTAAGTGAAAGAAGAGAGACACAAAAGGCCACGTATTGATTGACTTCATTTATATGGCAAGTTCATGGGAAGCCAAGGCAGGAGAATTGCTGGAACCTGGGAGGCAGAGGTTACAGTGAGCTGAGATCGTGTCACTGCACTGTAGCCTGGGTGACAGAGTTAGACTCTGTCTCAAAAACAAAACAAAAAACCGAACAAAAAACCATATATATATGGTTCAGAATAGGCAGAAACTTCAGGATAGGCAAATCCATTGAGACAGAAAGTAGATTATTGGTTGCTCGATGCTGGGAGAGAGGAAAATGGGAGAGTGACTGCATATGGGTATGGAATTTCTTTTTGAGGGAAGAAAAATATTCTAGAATTAGATTGTGAGTATACAGTTTTAGAAAAGTGGATGACAGATCAGATGACAGAACAGCTGTTAGTGATGGGATACTGCTCGTTATTATTGAGTGAAAACTTCTTCATTGTAAGAAGAAATTTGATGGATAAACACTGTTACAAAATGATGAAATGATAGATAAGCAGGTTTTTTTTTTTTTATTTTAGATTAAGGGGTACGTGTGCAAGTTTGTTCCAAGGGTGTATTGCATGATGCTGAGGTTTGGTCTTCTACTCATCCTGTCACCCAAATAGTGAACATAGTGCCTAATAGTTAGTTCTTCAGCCACCCTCCTTCCCCTCTTTTGAAGTTTCCAGTGTCTGTTCCCATCTTTATGTCCCTGTGTCCCCAGTGTTTAACTTCTGCTTATAAGTGTGAATATGCAGTATTTAGTTTTTTGTTTCTGCATTAATTCACTTAGGATGATGGCCCCCAGCTGTATCTATGTTGCTGCAAAGGACATTATTTCATTCTTTCTTTATGGCTGTGTAGTATTCCATCATGTGTATGTTCTACATTTTCTTTATCCAGTCCGCCATTGATGGGCATCTAGGTTGGTTCCATGTCTTTGGTATTGTGAGTAGTGCTGTGGTGAGCATACAAATGCATGTGTCTTTTTGGTAGAATGATTTACTTTCCTTTGGGTATATACCCAGTAATGGGATTGCTGGGTTGAATGGTAGTTGTATTTTTAGTTCTTTGAGAAATTTCCAAACTGCTTTTCATAGTGGCTGAACTAATTTATATTCCCATCAACAGTGTATAAGCATTCCCTTTTCTCTGCAGCCTCTCCAGCATCTCACAAGCAAGTTTTGAAGTGTTCACAAAGTAAAACAAACTTTAGTGCATGCAATGTTTTCATGAGACTCTATATATATGTTGGATACTAGTATTTAGAAGCCATACTTCTCGCATATGGTTTGTAGGAATAACTAGGAATGTTGTAAAACAGAAATCTTAAAAAAAAAAAAAATCTCTCTGAGTTACTTTCCACCTATCAGGTTACAAGTTTGAAGTGATTGGACAAGGTTAAAAAGCATCAACATCCTAGGAAGAAACATTTGCTCAGTCAATTTACTCATCTTTAAATGATTTTTTAAAGATGGAGATGAAGATGATGAAGAGGAAGAGGAAAATGAAGCTGGTCCACCAGAAGGATATGAGGAAGAGGAGGAGGAAGAGGAAGATGAGGATGAGGATGAAGATGAAGATGAAGATGAAGCAGGTTCAGAGTTGGGAGAGGGAGAAGAGGAAGTGGGCCTCTCATACTTAATGAAAGAAGAAATTCAGGTGAATACACACTTCTTATCTGCACTGAAAATTAATTTCTAGGCATAGGACCAAATACTATATAACGTGTGTTTTGTAGCAGTCTGACAGTTGTTTCTAAGTTGTGGGTGTGCATATATGTCTATCTGCCTGTCTTTTTTTTCATTGTCCTCCACCCCAAACTATATCCAGGTAATCATAAACACCTATTGATTTTACCTCCCAGATAACTTTCAAATCTGTTATAGCCTCAATGGCATGGTATGGTGGAAACATTTTACAAATGTCTATGAACCTCAGTTTTCTGCATTTATAAAACAGATTAGGCCAGGCATGGTGGCTCACACCTGTAATCTCAGCACTTTGGGAGGCCGAGGCGGGTGGATGACAAGGTCAGGAGTTTGAGACCAGCCTGGCCAACATGGGTGGGGAAACCCCATATCTACCAAAAATACAAAAATTAGCTCGGCATGATGGCACACATCTGTAGTCCCAGCTACTTGTGAGGCTGAGGCCAGAGAATCACTTGAACCCAGGAGGCGGAGATTACAGTGAGCTGAGATCGCGCCACTGCACTCCAACTCGGGCAACAGAGCCAGACTCTGTCTCAAAACAAAAAACAAAAAAACCAGGTTATATCAATCTCATAGGATTAAGGATTTAACAAGATAATCTATGTAAAGAATATAGTCCCTGGCACATTATAGGCACTCAAGAAAACTTCAGTTTCTTTCTCCTAATTATCTCTTGCTTATACTTCTGTAGTAACTTTATAGTCTCTCTGAATATAGCATCACCACTTAGGAGTATTCTCCACAGTGCTGCCTGTTTAATCTAATGCAAATGTGATTATACATCAGTCTTCTTGAAACCCTTTAATGTTTCCCTCTTGCCCCCAAGACATACAAGGCCTTTCATTTCTGGCCTTTGCTCCTTCTTCTTTTTCTTCTTCTTTTTTTTTTTTTTTGACACAGTCTCACTCTTGCCCAGGCTGGAGTGCAGTGGTGCGATCTTGACTCACTGCAACTTCTGCCTCCCAGGCTCAAGCAGTCCTCTGACCTCAGCTTCCCAAGTAGCTGGGACTACAGGCACACGCCACCACGCCTGGCTAATTTTTGTATTTTTTGTAGAGACAGGGTTTCACCATGTTGGCCAGGCTGGTCTTGAACTCCTGACCTCAAATGGTCCGCCCACCTTGGCATCCCACAGTGCTGGGATTACAGGTGTGAGCCACCATGCTCGGCCCCTGCTTCCTTCTCTAGCTTCATCTCCCTTGATTCCAAATTAAATGATCACACCAAGCTATTTTACCTTTATGGCTGTTTATGAATACGTTGTTCATGCTTTCTGAAATGAGCCTCTGATGAACTTTTTGTTTTTTGCCGAGTGAAGCTTGTGAAGTGCACTGATTTTATTTACAACTCCATGGAATTTTACATATGCATGTACTTGTGTAACCACCACCCAAATCATGCTTTGTGAACTCTTATCTTTACAAACCCAACTCTGCAGTTGACTCATCACTGAAGCTTTCTATATTTTTTCTTAGGCAGTCACTCCTCCATGTGTTACCTCTGAATCATGATCAGGCTTCTATTGCCTAGAGACACTTGTAAAATCATTTGGCCACTTTCTGCTAAGTGGTGAGCTCCTTAAGGGGAGTGCCACTCACCTTTGGATCTCAGCATCTAGTACACTGACTAGCCCGTGGTAGGCTCATGGGAAATGTCAGTTCACTAGAACAAGTTATCTGTAGCCCCTAGGAGTTTAGGTTAGTTATTTTCTCCTAATGTTAAATTGAAGTTTATTTGAAAAACTCATAATTTAAAGTATTTTTTATTATTAAAAATAACATATCTTATTTAGACTGGGAATTGTTAATATTTGTTCTAATGAGTTTTGCATTGGTTAGATACATAATATCAACAATCGATACATATTTTCTGATGAAACTAGTATGGAAAAAACAGGATTTATATTTGTTTGGGGTCTTGGTGGGTTAGGAGCTATATATATAATGAAGAACAGAAATTTAAGTGTTCTTTTTTTTTTCTTTTTTGAGATGGAGTTTTGCTCTTGTTGCCCAGGCTGGAGTGCAATGGCGCGATCTCGGTTCACTGCCACCTCTGCCTCCTGGGTTCAAGCGATTCTCCTGCCTCACCCTCCTGAGTAGCTGGGATTACAGGTGCCTGCCACTACACCGGCTAATTTTTTGTATTTTTAGTAGAGACAGGGTTTCACTGTGTTGGCCAGGGTGGTCTTGAACTCCTGACCTCAGTTGATCTGCCCACCTCAGCCTCCCAAAGTGCTGGGATTATAGATGAGCCGCTGCACCTGGCCCCACCTCTTCTTTTTTTAATGAACAAATTCTGCAACAAAAGCCATATTCAATCTTCCCCTTTTTTTCTTGTCTTTCCTTCTTCAGTTTAGTCTGCAGTTTTTCCTGATTTTCATTGTGTTCTTTTTTTATGATTTTTGCTATCTCATCTATTCCTTTTACTCCTTATAGCTTACTGGTATTCTGGTATGGAGATGCTTTGTTTCAACTGATTGTATAAGAATGATCTCTGATACAAGAATTAGGCAGTTGGCCGGGCGTGGTGGCTCACACCTGTAATCCCAGCATTTGGGGAGGCTGAGGCAGGCGGATCACCTGAGGTTGGGAGTTTGAGACCAGCCTGACCAACATGGAGAAACCCTGTCTCCACTAAAAATACAAAATCAACCGGGCGTGGTGGCGCATGCCTGTAATCCCAGCTACTTGGGAGGCCAAGGCAGGAGAATCGCTTGAACCCGGGAGGCGGAGTTTGCTGTGAGCCGAGGTCACGCCATTGCACTTAAGCCTGGGCAACAAGAGCGAAACTCCATTTCAAAAAAAAAAAAAAACAAAAGGAAAAGAGAAAAAAAAAAACCTAGAGATTTAGTTAGAATTTTTTTTTTTGAGATGAAGCCTCAGCTCTTGTCTACCAGGCTGAGAGTGCAATGGCGCGATCTCAGCTCACTGCAACCTCCGCCTGCCAGGTTCATGCGGTTCTTCTGTATCAACCTCCTGAGTAGCTGGGATTACAGGCGCCTGCCACCATACCTGGCTAATTTTTGTATTTTTAGTAGAGATGGGGTTTCACCATGTTGGCCACGCTGGTCTTGAACTCTTGACCTCGGGTCATCTGCCCTCCTCGGCCTCCCAAAGTGCTACGATTACAGGCATGAGCCACCACACCTGGCTCTTTAGTTAGGTTTTAAAAAGGACCTTTATAAGAATGGCAGAGGTTATCAAAACACAGAATAACCAAGTTTCTTTGCTCTTGTTGGAATATATTACAAGAAAGAGTGAAAAATCCATATGATTTTTTAATTCTCAACTGAATATTTGAATTTCAAGGATGAAGAAGATGATGATGACTATGTTGAAGAAGGGGAAGAAGAGGAAGAGGAGGGTGAGTTACATTAACCATAAACAAATTCTAAAATTAAAGACATAGTTATTTTTTATACACTTTATTTATATTTCATACACTTTAAAGAATGAGCCTATAATGTAAATTTTTACTGATCCCTTTGATTTTGCTTTATCATAGAGTGCCTTCAAAATTATAAAAGTTTTTTTTTTTTTAAGAGTAGTTGTCTTAGGGCACTCATTAATTCATAACTCATAAATAAACAGCTTATAACATTTATTTTAAAAACAAATGAAGAGATGAATGGAACCTTGAGCTGAATTTATTATTTTTATAGAGTGTCATTTTCGAGAGAGTGAATTCTTATCTTACAAGAGAGGAGCAGTTGAACTCCAGATAATTAATGCTGTTTTTAGATTTGTTTTCTAGGCCTTTAAAAATTTTTATATATGTATATATATAAAAATATATATATGTAAAATATACATATACATAAATATATATATATATTTTTAAACAGAATCTTACTTTGTTACCCAGGCTGGAGGCTGGAGTGCAGTGGTGCAATCGCAGCTCACTGCAGTCTCAATCTTCTTGGGTTCAGGTGATTCCCCCATCTCAGCCTCCCAAGTAGCTGGGACTACAGGCACACACCGTCACACCCGGCTAATTTTTGTATTTTTTTTGTAGAGATGGGGTTTCGCCATATTGCCCAGGCTGTGTTGAACTCTGGGTTCAAGCGATCTGCCCACCCCAGCCTCCCAAAGTGCTGGGATTGTAGATGTGAGCCACCATGGCCAACCAGTATTTTTGTTTTATTTTATTTTATTGTTTTGAGACAGGGTCTCTGTCAGCAGTGAGTGCAGTGGGGCATTCATAGCTCACTGCAGCCTCGACTTCCCAGGCTTAAGCAATCCTCCCACCTCAGCCTCTTCCAAAGTAGCTGAGGCTACAGGTGCGCACCACCACACCTTGCTAATTTTTGTATTTTTTGTATAGAGGGAGTCTCACTGTTGCCCGGGCTGGTCTTGAACTCCTGGGCCCAACTGATCCTCTTGCCTTGGCCTCCCAAAGTGCTAGGATTATAGATGTGAACCACTGCACTCAGCCTCAAAATAATTTTTAAAATGTACTAACACTTGCATTGATGTCAAGCCCTTAGTTTCTTAATCTGTACTTCATGATATGGCCACAAGGGTGCATAGCAAACTGTAATGATTATGGATTTCTAAGCCTGTTAAGTCTGTTTTCAACCTACTCAAATTTAAAGAAATTCAAAGAGGAAACTTGAATTATAATTTCCTTCCTTCCCTCCCTCCCTTCCTCCCTTCCTTCCTACCACCTTCCTTTCCTCCCTCCCTCCCTCCCTCCCTCCCTCCCTCCCTCTCGTCCTCTCTTCACCTGCCCTCCCTCCCTACTTTGAGACAGTCTCCCTCTGTCGCCCAGACTGGAGTGCAGTGGCATAGTCTCGGCTCATTGCAGCCTCTGCCTCCCGGGTTCAAACGATTCTCCTGCCCCAGCCTCCCAAGTGGCTGGGACTACAGGTGCCTGCACCACACCCAGCTAATTTTTATATTTTTAGTAGAGATGGGAGTTTCACCCTATTGGCCAGGCTGGTCTCCAACTCCTGACCTAAAGTGATCCGCCTGGCTCGGCCTCCCAAAGTATTGGGATTACTGGCGTGAACCACCTTGCCTGGCCAATTTTCTTCTGCCATTAACTTTTATTTATTTATTTATTTATTTTTGAGACAAAGTTTTGGGCGGTTGCCCAGGCTGGAGTGCAGTGGCGCGATCTTGGCTCACTGGAACCTCCGCCTTCCAGGTTCATGCAGTTCTTCCTCAGCCTCTCCAATAGCTGGGATTATAGGCACCCGCCATCACGCCTGGCTAATTTTTTGCATTTTTAGTAGAGATGGGGGTTCACCTTGTTGGCCAAGCCTCAAGTGATCCACCCATCTCAGCCTCCCAAAGTGCTGGGATTACAGATGTAAGCCACCGTGCTAGGCCCTGCCATTAACTTTTCACTAAGATTCAAAACTTTGTAATGTAACCAATCCTCATTTGTTAAAATTAAGCATTTTGCATTTTTCCTTCCACTCGTTAAGAAGAAGAAGGTCTTCGAGGGGAGAAGAGGAAACGAGATGCTGAAGATGATGGAGAGGAAGATGACTAGATCATTCTAAGACCAGACTCTCTAATGTTTCTGGGTGTTCAATAGAGTGATCACATCTTTGTTTCTTCATGTACGATAGCTATCCCTACAGAAGATAATGTGTAACTTTTTATAGGAAAAGTGTGGTTTTACTATTTTTGCCTTATCATTCCAAATAAGAACTAGTCTGTTAATGATCATATTGTATGTAGAGAAAAATTTTCATTGACTCCCATTGTGGAATTCCCTAGCAATTTATTTAGACTTAATTTTTTAAATTCAAGCTTACTGTATTAGTCATTTTTAGCCCATAATTAAAACATCACTTTTACACAGGTGTAGTATGGTGCATTTCATTCCTTATTTATAAATTAACTGAAATTACAGTTTGCTATAATATAAAATGACAGTAGTCTCTTGAGTGGTAAGTTGGTTATTCTTTTAGAGGTAATCCAGGGATCTTTAGTTTGAAGACAGTTACTTTTTTTTTTTTTTGACTAAGAGTGGTTGCTTTTTTGTCACAAGTAACTTGGAAAATAGAAGCAGAATAGTAAAGGTTCTATTCAGCAACATAGTTCATGGATTTTGTGGAGGTTCTATTCAGTAATAGGGTTCATGGATTTAGTGGTGACTGATAAGATTTTATTTTTGAAGGAAAAATTGCTTATACTAAGTCCAGAGACATGCAGGTGAGCCCTTTTGTCAGGCTGCAAATCATGACATGCCGATGGTTGTTTATTTTGTTTTGTTTTTAGGTGCGCATTCTTTTTCTTCTCAGCAATTCCTTTATGATCACCTTCCCTTCTTGTTTCACTCCCTCCTGTTCTCTCAAAAGAAAGTTGGGAAACTTGTGAAACCCAGGAAAACCTTTAGTCTTATACCTCAACTACCTTTTAGTCCTGTCTGGGTTTTAAATAAATGAAGTGGAAGAAATTGAGTATTTTCTGACATAAGAATATATTATCATTACAGTTTTATGCAGTAAGCTCTGCTTACCATAAATGTTTCTTGGTTCACAACATCTAAGACAATATTAGTAGGATGAAGAAAGAAAAGCAGGGGTGCTTTTTGGAAGCAGTGTTCGTGTTTCTTAAAAGTCAGAACAATTGCCTGTTGATAATTAATAAGACATTAAAGTCAAATTTTAAAGTTGGCTTCTCAAATGATTTGGATACCACTCTGCAAAGTATTTCTAACCTTTAATTCCCAGTTTTGAAGCATTACCAGATATAATAATAGCATTAATTGGAATGTACTAGGCAGCTGGAAAAGTATTTGAAACTAAATCGACATTAAAATTAAGATTTGTTTTCAAGTGGATGTCTATCAAGGTAGAAAAATATTTGGGATAAGTGTGTGTTTCCTTACATGGCTACTAAATAAAATGAGTATACAAGTATATCTCCTCTTTTGCTATTGAGGCTCCATGTTCAAAGCAATGGCTTTTTAAATCTTGACTATCTAAAACTTTTTCCCTTTGTTTTGAATATTTGTAAGTTTTAAAAAAATTAGTTTCAGCAAATTAATTGAAGTTATGCTTCTATACTGGGACATATTTAAATATTGAGTATAGTACTGCTGCTACTGCTTCTACAATGTAAAATGTATGACTTGGTGTTTTAAAGTAAAAATTATGATGTTACTTGTGGAGAAACTAAAAAAGTTACACAACTGACTGAAATAAAATACTTGGGATAAGTTTAGTGAGGGGATTGGAATCCCCAAAAAACTAACATTTTTCTTCTGCTTTTAAAAATTGAAATTCCCTATTTTAGTTCCTAACAATTCTCGTTACATACTATGCCAGATTACAAAATACTTATTTTTAAAATGAAATCTATATATTGACTTTCTTATCAATCATCTTACTGTGCAATCAAAATTAGAGTACTTTGGTTTGAAAACAACACTTAGAGCCTCCAGATAACTTTTAAGACTTATTTAGCTTTGTGGGTGGTATTTTCATGCAAATAAGTAAGGGTGGGTTTTATATTTTGTAGAAGTTTTCGGTCCTATTTTAATGCTCTTTGTATGGCAGTATGTATATAGTGTGTTAAGTTCCTCAAGAATCTCCTCAAAAACTTTGAAGTTAATACTTTTGTGCAACTGTGTTTTGAATAAAGCCATGACAGTGTTAAAAACAAACAAAAAAATTTGCAGTACTCCTGATTGTTCTTTGATTGTTTCTGTTTCCTGTTTTTTTCTGTGACTGCTGTAACTTAAAGTTTTAAAACTGAATTGCTTCAAATAAATTGAAGATTTGTTATAATGATTAGTTTCAGTGTATAACATTCACTTTTTCAACAATACCATTAGCAGCTTTGAAGGTCTTTTTAAAAACTAACAGCTTGAAAGTTAACTCATTTAAATACTCGGATGTGATATAAGGCATTACAATTTATTTATTTATTTTTTGAGACGGAATCTTGCTCTTTCACCAGGCTGGAGTGCAATGGCGTGATCTCGACTCACTGCAACCTCTGCCTTCCGGGTTCAAGCGATTCCCCTGCCTTAGCCTCCTGAGTAGCTGGGACTATAGGCATGTGCCACTACGCCTGGCTAATTTTTTTGTATTTTAGTAGAGACAGGGTTTTACTGTGTTGGCCAAGATGGTCTCGATCTCCTGACCTCATGATCCGCCTGCCTCGGCCTCCCAAAGTGCTGGGATTACAGGCATGAGCCACTGCTCCCAGCTGGCATTACAATTTAATAGTGTAACTCATCATCTTCTTTATTAACTTTTTTTTTTTTTTTTGAGACAGAGTTTCACTCTCATTGCCCAGGCTGGAGTGCAATGGCGCCATCTTGGCTCGCTGCAACTTCCGCTTCCTGGGTTCAAGAGATTCTCCTGCCTCAGCCTCCTGAGTAGTTGGGATTACAGGCATGTGCTACCATGCCCAGCTAATTTTGTATTTTTAGTAGAGATGGGGTTTCGCTTTTTTGGTCAGGCTGGTCTCGAACTCCCTGACCTTAGGTGATCCACTGGCCTCAGTCTTCCAAAGTGTTGGGATTACAGGTGTGGGCCACCACACCTGGCCTTCTTTATTAACTTCTTTTCCAAAAGGCAGAAGAAAAATCTGGATTCTCTTAATTTTCCTTTTGGGGTTACAAACTGAACCAGTACTTTTTGCAGTTTGATTTGAAGTAATAAGTTTATTACCTATACTTGTATTATCTGTGGTTTATTAAAGTGATTATAAGACTATTGTATATCAATAGTATTTTCTAAAATGAATCCAAAGTTCTCCAATTATACTGCATGTTTATCTTCTGAATCTTGATAATATAAATGGAAATATACATAATACTTAAATGTTTATTAGAGCAAAATCAAACTTGAAACTATGTTTTTTCTGCTCTTTTTTTTTTGGGGTTTCCCTGTGGTAAGTGATTTTTAAAATGTTTCATATGTAGACAACTGGAATTTTATAGTCAAGGCACAAGTATAATAATGTTTTCATGATTGCTTTACAGTTTAATATTGAAAAGGTATTTTAATTATTGAACTCTGCTTCCTGAGAGATGAAAAATATTGAAGTATTTTCAACTAAGGGTATTATTTACTGAAATTAATTTTTTTTTGCAGGTATTATTGTCTTTAAAAAATTCAAAGCCTTTCACCTCTTGGTTACAGAGAATGGCAGAACCACACAAAGTTTTTGATGAAGTTGTTAGATAATGAAGCAATTCAGTGAGAGAGTGTGATTGAAGACACCTTTAAATATAGTTTGTTCAGGCTGGGCGCGGTGGCTCAAGCCTGTAATCCCAGCACTTTGGGAGGCCGAGACAGGCGGATCATGAGGTCAGGAGATCGAGACCATCCTGGCTAACACAGTGAAACCCTGTCTCTACTAAAAATACAAAAAATTAGCCAGGCAAGGTGGCGGGTGCCTGTAATCCCAGCTACTCGGCAGCCTGAGGCAGGAGAATGGCATGAACCCGGGAGGCGGAGCTTGCAGTGAGCTGCGATCTGGCCACTGCACTCCAGCCCGGGCAACAGACAGAGCAAGACTCGTCTCAAAAAAATATATATATATACACACACACACACATACATATATATATATATATATAGTTTGTTCTATATTTTAAAGTGAGGCTTTGGAATGTGACATGCTTTCAGTTGCTGAAAATTTCCCCTCTCTTGTTTCTAGTACTGGATGCAATGATATTCTGCAGCTGTTGCTTATAGAATTCTATTACTGCATGCCTTTTTCATGTACTAATTCAGCCTAAGATTTAAGAACCTGGCATGGGTACTTCCACCTGAGGTAGTTACTTGTATTACTAACCCTAACTTGAAGGAGAATGGTTACATCACACAATGGAAATTACAAAATGAGTTGATCTTCAGGAGAATTGTTTTTTTTTTTTTTGAGACTAGTCTTGCTCTGTCACCCAGGCTGGAATGCAGTGGCACAGTCTTGGCTCACTGCAACCTCTGCCTCCAGGGTTCAAGGGATTCTCTTGCCTCAGCCTCCTGAGTAGCTGGGATTACAGGCACGTGCCGCTATGCCCCACCTGGCTTTTTTTAATTTTTATTTTTAGTGGACATGGGGTTTTACCATGTTGCCTAGGCTGGTCTCGAACTCCTTTCCTGAAGAGACCTGACCGTCTCGGCCTCCTAAAGTGCTGGGATTATGGGGGTGAGCCACCGCACCCAACCTAAAATACTTTATTTCATATAATTCTAGTCACATTTTTGGATAGTAAGACCCTGAAGTAGGGTTATCCCATAATACCCTGGGGCCAGGTGCGGTGGCTGAGGCCTGTAATCCCAGCACTTTGGGAGGCGGAGGTGGGCAGATCACCTGAGGTTAGGAGTTCCAGACCAGCCTGGCCAACATGGCAAATGCTCATCTCTACCAAAAATACAAATATTAGCCAGGCATGGTGGGGCTCACCTGTAATCCCAGCTACTCCAGAGGTTGAGGCAGGAGAATCATTTGAACCCAGCAGGGAGAGGTTGCAGTGAGCCAAGACTGCCACTGTACTTCAGCCTGGGCAACAGAGCAAGACTCCGTCTTAAATAAATAAATAAATAAATACTCCAAAACCCAGGTTAGTAAAGAATCAGAAGCAGATATGACCTTTTCTAACTTTATGAATATTTACAAATAATTCAAATTTTTGTTTGGACTTGGTCATTTATAATATGGACACATCCATGTTAATGGTTAATACTGACACAAGCCACCAAATAGGCATATAGCTCTAGTGAAAACTACCTGTTGTAGCTTCAAGAAGTAACTTTGACACTGTAAACTTCTCCTTATTATTATTATTTTTAATTTATTTTTATTTTTATTTTTTTAGACTGAGTTTGACTCTTGTTGCCCAGGCTGGAGTGCAATGGTGCGATCTCGGCTTACTGCAACCTCCGCCTCTCGGGTTCAAGCGATTCTCCTGCCTCAGCCTCCAGAGTGGCTGGGATTACAAGGCGCCCGCCACCTCGCCCAGCTAATTTTCTGTATTTTTAGTAGAGATAGGATTTCACTTTGTCGACCAGGCTGGTCTCAAAGTCCTGACCTCAGGTGATCCACCCACCTCGGCCTCCCAAAGTGCTGGGATTATAGGCGTGAGCCACCATGACCGGCCTCCTATTAAAAAATTTTTTTTAAAATATTTTTTATGGCAGCATATTGATAATTTTTCTATTAAATAAACTGCACCATCTTGCTGATGATGAAGGCTACAATCTATTTTCCGCTTTGGTTGTGACTTTTCCTGGCTAGAGTCACTCCCCAGAATTAGCTCAAAGGGGCTACAGGGTTTCTCCCACTTGGAGGGATTTTCTCCCAGAGTCCGTTTCTCTTGGCACTAAGTAGACACCAACAGTGTAGTCAGTGGCTTTCAAAGCCATTTATATAGAGAGCTGTGACTGCGGCATTCTGGGGTCCGTAGAAGAATCTGTAAGTGTAATGGAAGGAACTGCAGTTGAAACTACTAGAGAACCAATGACAGCAGCACCAGAGGAAACTAAGGGAAGCAGCAGTCACTGTCACTGCAAGTCTGCAGCGAAGCTCCTGTGAGTTCAGCGCTTTGAGCTGTGTTGCACTCTGCTCTACCACCAGCCACTTTTCTGAGAATATGCTGAGTTAAAAACGAACTCAGTTTTGGAGTGTGGAGGATTTATTATCTGTGGGGAATTAGTTAAATCTGAAAAGGATTACGGGTGAGAAATTTTTTCAGTAAATTGGATAATTTTACCAACACATTTTTTTTTTCCTTTTTTTGGAGACAGAGTCTTACTCTGTCGCCCAGGCTGGAATGCAGTGGCACGATCTCGGCTCACTGCAACCTCCGCCTTCCTGGTCCAAATGATTCTCCTGCCTCAGCCTCCTGAGTAGCTGGGATTACAGGCGCGTGCCACCATGCCCAGCTAATTTTTGTATTTTTAGTAGAGATGGGGTTTCACCATGTTGGCCAGGCTGATCTCGAACTCCTGACCTTGTGATCCGCCCGCCTCAGCCTCCCAAAGTGATAGGATTACAGGTGTGAGCCACCGTGCCCGGCCTGCCAACAAGTATTTTTACCAAGCCATGTATATTGGGGGTATGTGACATGAACCACTACTAGGCTTCCTGGGCTGTAGCATTCAGTACGTGAAGGATTAGAGCTCTAGAACTCAGCCTCATCCATTTTGCTTTTTACCCAATTCCCTTTATTTCAGGGAAATGAGGAAAGGACTCCAGTTTTACGATTAAATTCCTCTAAGCCCTGTTTCCCCGTCACACTCCACTGGGTTGGGCCAACCACATGTTATCTCACATCACTACTTCAGATTTTTGATGGGCTTGAATAGACAGATTGGGAGATTTTAAATGCTTAAACTGTCAAAGTGACCTTTGGGGGTACGTTTCCAGGTACGTTATCTGTCATCGTCCTAGGGGACACTTGCCTTTAAAAATTTTTCATCTTTATTTCTCCAATCCTCAACCCCTGAGATACAGATAAAACTTTTTCTCTTTTCTGGGGGAGTGCTATTTTTATACCAGGGCGCCCTCCAGCGATTCTGGAATCTCAAGCAATAGAATAGAATTCGAGCGTCTTGCGGAGACAGCAATGTTATTTTAGTCGATGGAGGAAAAAAAAAAAGTGCTGATCACTTTAGAGTGTGTCTGTAATGTAATTCCTGGAACACAGGCAACAATTTCTGCGAAGGCAAATTTTTAGATTCAAGAACAGAGTCGAAAAGCCAGAAGCAATAGTGGAGGTCAAGACTCGGAAAGGATCCCGGCAACCCGAATTGCTCTACAGAGCGCTTTCCGAAAC